GGACTGGTGTAAAGTGGCAGTATTTGCCTAGTCGAAGCAGGTCTAGATCTTGTATTGACGGACCAACGACAACAGAGAACCTAAACTCCCGTGCAATAACAGAGAAATGGCAGCGCGTATTGATTACACAAACCAACGCCGACCCTAAACAGCTATTTCGATCACGAGAACAACAATCCCGTGCACAGACATCAAGACCAAATGACAGATTACGAGAATCGAAAACCGAAGCCGGGATAACTGGAATAGCAAACCACATAAAAACCGGAATTAAATAAGCGTTGTGTTGAACTCGGGGTTTAAAAAGAAGACACTGTTCGTTGATGAGTGGTGAAAATTTATTGCAAGGTACATGATAAGACTACAGTATATACGTAGACTTCGGTTGAAGCTTAGGCCGTTTTCTTCGGTTCAATCACCAGTGGCCCAATGTTGTCACCGGTTTCTTCGTTGTGTTTGTTGTGAGCCCCATCGCACAGAGGAAACTAATATGATGCGTTAAATATTCATGAGTTACGCACATAACCTACCTTGGCAGATCGCCAGCAGCGACAGTATGCCGTTTTACCCGTAATTGACTCGACATCAATAACTGTGGCGCATTTATTCAAGTGTTTACTGATGTTCGGATTGATGTGACACTTGTGTTTTCCCATATGCAGCATAACAGTCGTGTAAACCGAGTAGCCCAGAGCGGTGGTCACTGCGCCGAAAACTGTCAAACCTAGGAGTTCTTTAACTGAACGGAATAATTAAATGTTAGATCAAATGTTTACATGAAAGATGGAAGATGCCCCCAAAGCTCTCGGGAATGGGAACCGAACTGAGTAGATTGGGTGCATGAACACAAACAGTGTTATGGAGAAAATTCATGCTGAATTCAGTTTCCGATCGGTGTCAAGCAAATATAGTGCAGTGCTGCAAAGGAAAGAATTGCATTAGTAACCTGACACATGATGCAATGTTTAAAACATTGTCAAAATTACAGCGATAAGGCAGTAAACAGAGTCCGTGAAAAAGAATGTATAGATCAGTACGATGTAGCGTATCACACGCATCAGTTTTCTCGATATATTCCACAGATTGTGCCAGGTAAATTTTTCAATTTTCCATGGCTTGTTCGTCATTTTGCACAAGCCAAAGCGGGTGAAATTTCAAGGATTCAAAAATGTCAGCTTCTACTAGTTCAACTTTAGTCTCTCACGGCTGCTGGGAGGTGTGAAAACCACCATGTATTACACACCAAATAATAAGTCATCTCCACGAACATCATCGTGGACGCTCGGAGATTGAATATCAGATCAGTGAAGATTGTCATCCAGTTATGCTTTCAACAGCAACAACCGCAGATCGAACAAAGTCCGTGATCCAAGTTTATGACGACAGCAGTAATCTACGTTTTTAGATGCCCATGAGCCTACAACGCATTTCGGACAAACTGCTAGGCTCAACTATTGTCGGCACAATGTCGTGAAGAGGCAATGGGTTGTCCCGATCACCGCAATCGAGGGCGACGGAGGCAAAGGGACAATAGTTCAGTAATAAAGCATTATCTTCCTATTTCGTCTATTGTCTAAGGATTTCATATTGAACAGACGCCCTCTGAAAAGTATCTAAAGATATGGAGCTGTATCTTACGAGGCGTTGTTCGATTCAGCTGTCAGCCAACACCTCAAGACGTGTGACCGTCTGCATGACTTTATCTTGTCTGANCCCGAGCAACTTCTCGCGTAGTTGGAGTTTCGCTTCCATGTATGGTGCTCATAGGGTCCACACTGGCGGAAAACAGTCCGAAAATTCCGCCCAGAACAAACCCTGTTAAGTGAGTGTGATGTGATTGGAAACATAGGGAGAAGAGGAAACAAACCTCCAAAGCAGCTGATGGCTGTTTTAAAAGGACAACTATCCATGACCTTGCGCACCATGAGTTCTTCTTTCAGAGGTAGGGGAAACGATGGCAATTTCATCCGAATGAGCTTTTCTGGGTTTTCCAGAATATGCGTGGACAGAACATGTTTCATCAATGAGGGATTATCATCCGATAAGGCATCAGCGATCTTTTTTGAAAGAGTTCTGTATCGTTC